TCTTTACGTAAATGTTGAACCGTTGATTGAAAATGCGATGAATGTAAAACTGTTTAGTAATGTGCACTTTTATGGTATGAAAAGAAATCCTGTTATAGTGTGTTTGTCAGTTAATATGAATATGTTTCATGAAGGATGACAGTCCATTCTTTTACCCATTTTCAGAAGGAAAATTTGATGAACATAGCAACAGGATTTTGTTTTTCTCCAAACCTGCACACCAACTAATTGCTGATAGAGTCCCTGTCTAGTTCATGTCCATTAGGCTTCGTTGTTAAGAATTCATTGGGAAATGACCAAGGAAAGAGCTGAAGAAGTCGTGGCACACTTATTTACATAGGGTGACTTAATAAACGGTATTTATAGATGGGTTTCATGCAAACTCTCCTGTAATATTTACCTTAAGAAATGGATGAAGAGAATAAATTAAACTCTGTTTTTCATAGCAGTTGAACTGTAGGTGTGGTGTGACTTGGAAAAGAAAGGTTTCTGTGAGATAACTTTTTAGTTAAATTGTGTTTGTACAGGGCTGGTAGTAGGTTTTCAATCTGAATTGAAACATTGACATAACCATAGGTTGCTGCAGATCTTATGTTAGTGAGGTAAGTAGAAACTCTGCATTAAGGACAAATGTCATCCATTATAGGAAACCTGAGTGGGAGGTTGTATATCTTTGCTTTAGAAGCATTTTGTTATGACTAAGATCTTCTGTCACACTTGCAGTGTGCAATGTGACTGTGATTCCAGATGTTAATCAGTAAGTAATCTAAGTAGTGAATTCTAGATCTTGTAAAAACACTCCTGTTTCGCACTTGGCCTTTTTAGTAAAACAAGATTCAGAACAAAATTAAACAAAATAAAATGAGTAGCCAGGATCAATTTTGTTGATATATTAACTTCCAGACCTCATGCTTTTACATCTAAAAATAAACACTCTTTGCTGCTTGTAGTATTTTGAGGCAATTTTTTCTTGATTCTTAAGTGTCATGCTATAATAGCAGGTCTAGAAGTTGTCTGGGAAGATCAAGGGTATTTGTGTGCATGAAAAATAGGGTAAAAGTTTAAAACAGCAATTAACTGCTACTCTATGTGAGCATTTGAAGGAAATTACAAATGATTGAATTGTGACACTGAGAGTGAGGTTATGTTTGTGTTTGGCTGTAGGTACTAAACACAGGCCAAAGGAATCAAAATACAGATAAGGTGGGAAGAGCAAGCAGAGCTTATGACAAAAGCAACAGGGAACCACCAAGTCAATAAATGGCTACACAGGGTCTGCAAGGCCTGGAGCAGAATTTAACATCCACTCTTTACCCTCTGTTTCTCACAAACCACTATTTACCTTTACTAGTTGTAGCTGAAATTACTATACATTTTGTAGTGGTAATGTGACTATAAAGTTCTGAATATCATAGAATCACAGCCTGGTTTGGGTTGGAAGGGACCTTAAAGATCATCTAGTTCCAACCCCCCTGCCATGGGCAGGGACACCTTCCACTAAACCAGGTTGCTCAAAGCCTCATCCAGCCTGGCCTTGAACACTTCCAGGGATGGGGCATCCACAGCTTCTCTGGGCAACCTGTGCCAGTGCCTCACCACCCTCTCTGGGAAGAACTTCTTCCTGATATCTAATCTTAACCTCCCCACTTTCCATTTAACCCCGTTCCCCCTTGTCCTGTCACTACAGGCCCTTGTAAAAAGTCCCCCCCAGCTTCCTTGTAGCCCCTTCAGGTACTGGAAGGTGCTATAAGGTCTCCCTGGAGCCTTCTCTTCTCCAGGCTGAACAAGCCCAACTCTCTCAGCCTTTCATCACAGCAGAGGTGCTCCAGCCCTCTGAGCATCTTTGTGGCCTCCTCTGGACTCGCTCCAACTGGTCTATATCCTTCTGATGCTGTGGGCTCCACGGCTGGACGCAGTACTCCAGAATATGGAACAAATAGTTCAGGTTAGAATAAGGAACAAATAGGTCAGGTAAGTTAGTTCTAGTAAGAAAAGGGTTTTGAATAAAATTTGGAGGAAGGTCAGAAAAAGCTTTTTAGTACACAGGATCTTTAAATTATATTTAAATGATTTTTAGTTGTGTGGATAATGAAAGCTTATCAATTGTATTTTAACAGAAATGAACCAGAAGTGAGTCAGATGACAGCTGAAACCCCTAAAGAAGCATTTAGGGGTTTACGGGTTAGAGTTATCAGCATGAGTGCAGTGTACCTGAAAGATGCCTGATTGGGCAATGTCAAAAGATTACTGTTACTAAAAAAAAAAAAAAAGGTAATAGCAAAGATGTAAAAGTGTGATAAAAGATACAGTGGCTGTGCTGATTAGATATGCAAGGCTGTACTGGAGGTCATCCCTCCTCAATTTGGAAACTGTGTAGTGTAGCCCTGTGCTTGATATCTCTCAATAGCCACTGCAAGGAGGGTTTTAAAAGAAACAAAACTAAACAAAAAAGCCCAATTATCGATGCTGTTGTGCTGCTTTGCAAGATCCTTAAGTTCTCTACATTTTAAATAAGATTGCAGCATGAAGGATTTGGAAGACTGGGATTTCCAAAGTCCTGCAGAAGATTACACAAGGTTTCTTTGTATGCTGCTTAACATTGATCTTCAAACTTAAACCCCAAGAATCCACTTAATTGGGATATTGTTTAGAGACAGCTTAAATTTAGTTGATTAATCTGCAGTCTGAGTTTCTAAAACTTGGTTACTTGGTCTATGTTGAATTTCAATGTTGATTATTAATTTAGAATACATTTTTATGTCAGCTGTATGAATTTAGTGAAAGACAGGAGGTAAGTGTTTTTTAATAGTATGATTGAAGTAAGGGTACTTGAAGACTATGACTTTGTGTGTGTGTGTGTGTGTTTTCTTCAGAGAACTAATTGCTGCAATGGGTTGAGGGATACCTTTTTCTTAAACAGGAAATTGTTCAAGTTGTACAGTAAAACTTTGAAAAAAAATTTCTAGAAAGATTTTTTAAAGTTTTTTCTTTTTTTCTGTCACTCTATTATAATAAAGTGCAGGATAGGAATTACCATGGGAAGCACTCGTTATCCACCCTGTTTTAACTTCAATATAGGTGGCACTGCAACTCATAAGAATTTTATCACAGTATAGTTCTTTTTTATGTAGAAATTGATGTACAAAAAGTTTTAATAATATATTACCGTATGTACTTTATGGTTAAGTACTAGAGGCTTAAAATCTAACAGTACAGTTTCTGTATGAGATTACTTGTGGCCTGGCTAGTAGCCAGAGTCCTTATTTTAAATAATAGAAGATATAGATGATATCCTTTGTGTGAGTGCATCACACCTTTCCAGAGGAATCTCTATAGAAGAGATGAGGAAACTCCTTCACTCTTAGTCCCTGGAAGGCTAACAAGTGACAGGCTGCAGTGACGTGCATTTGCAGAAACGGACATCAGACAAGAAAAGGCTTACTAGTGTCTAGTTCTTATTGGTGGTACCTTTGCTGGTATTTTTCTTGGAAAACATTCCTCATGCTTCTTGTTCAGACTTCCCTTTTCTATTTCTTCAGAAGTTAAGCCTTAAAGACACACAAAGACTTTAGAGAATGTTCAACTCTGCAGGATGGAGTTTGGGTTGTTTCATCAGCCAGTAAAGGAAAGCAAACTCCACAGGCAGATACAGTTTCAGATCTTCAGGGCAATTTCTTGTTCATAATGACAAATGAAATGCTAATTATATCCTGTGATGCTTTTCCCTTGTTTCTGTCAGTTAAGAGAAATATGACGCATGCTTTCAGACATCTTACTGGTCTGTGTACTAGGGATTTCTTCTACTTTTCTGGTCTGCAAATGTATCTTGTCACACCTAAGAATTAGTGGGTTTTTTGTGGAAAATCCCTTCTTGTTAAAATTCTTGGAAAACCTGTCATACTGAGAGTGAAGTTTTCATGTATTTCTAGTGCTAGCGATGAGGATGAGCTTGTGGGGTGCTGCTTAGCCTGTACAGGATTCAATACTTTCTTACGAGGTACCTACCATTGTTGACCATTACAAACATGCTGATGAGCTTTAGAAGATTTTTCATCTGGTCCAGTATGCAATATTGCACTTCCATTAATTATTAATCAGGCCTAGCCAGTCTGAGATTTTGTCATTTGTTACTGTAAAAAACTAGCGATACTTAGAAGCTTAGTTCAGAAGGAGCGTAGTTTCAAATACTCATGGTTTTGATTTAAAAAAAAAAAGAATCCTGACTAAATACAATGTCAGTAATTGGACAACATTCCAAGTACTGTTGCCATTAGGTATTCTCTAGTCAGAAAAGCTTTTTCATTTCCAGTACTTTGAAGAGGGTAGTTCCAATGTAGTGCCAATGAGGTTCTCATCGCACCTGTAAATGGTTCACTTTGAGAGTTATCCTTTGCATATTATGCTTTGGGGATGTTCTTCATGCAGGGGACTTTTTTGTCACAAGGCATTTGAACTCAGCCTTCTTGATTAGCTGAGGTTTACATTCGTGCAGTTTAATTGTGTATTTATGATGGCGTATGTTGTGATCATCTTGTATATTTTAGTTCTCCTTTTTTGTACTGTTATTAGTCTTAAAATAGTCCTCTAATTGCACTCTATGGAAAGACATAGTAATTACAAACATCAAAGTGCATGCAGCAACCTGAAGATTACAGTGCACGATACCATCACAAACCTTTTTTTGGAATGTACATTGCCAGAAAAGAGGTGTCAAGTTTAATAGAGAGTATTCATAGTAGCAACACAAAAATGTGTCAGGTGTAGTTACCAATGTTCTGTGTGGTTTTTATATAGTCTTTCAGGCCAGTATAAAAGCTTTCATAACAAGGAAAATTAACCTGACATCACAAAAAAAAAATTCCAAACCAGTACATGTAAATTAAATCTTGAGGAGTTTGGGATAAAACCTGTTATGAAAAGGGTTATGATTAAATATTTTATGCAACGTATATGGACTTCATTCTTTCCATGATGGTAATTTTTTTTTATTACATCTACAGGTTCAGTTCATGCCACATCAATAGCAGCTTCCAGAGTGGAGCAAGCACTGTCTGAAGTTGCTTCATCTCTGCAAAGCAGTGCCCCTAAACAAGGTCCCTTGCATCCTTGGATGACTTTGGCTCAAATATGGCTTCATGCAGGTACCGTGAAAGTAAAATCCTTTCTTGTTCTTTCCCCTCCCCTTTCTTGCTAGCCTAAGGACCTGCAAAAATCTGTTGGTTTCATTCAGAATCTGTTATCACTTAGCAGATCAAGCTTTCTCCAGGTGTGTGTGAGTGTGGCACTGAAGCAGGTCAAGAAATAAAAAGCACATTAGAGTTGCTTTTGTATAAGATAATTTATGTAAGATACGGCCATAGTTTTATAATGCAGCTGTTATCAGTAGGGTCATATCTTCTGTAGAACAAAGGCAACACTCTCCCTTATCCGTGAAGAATTTAGTTTCTGAAGTACCTTGAGCATCTTAGTATTTGGAAATTCAGATGCCCTAATTCCATTGGTGGGAGGAAGATGTTTGTAAGATTATTGAGTAGAGTTCCTACAACTAGAAAAGTTTTCTCATTGAAAATAAATAACTGCATATATGGAAGAAGAGGTTAGTAGCTGGAGCAACCGGTCCCTTGCAGCTGTGATAATGAGCTGTCATTCAGTTCTCTTCCTTCTAGCTTCATTAATGCAGAAGATGCTGGATCATTTTTCTAAACGTGGAGGCATCTTGAGTGGATTTAGTATTGTTGTGCTGCTTCAAGTCTCAAGCTAAATCCAATATCACAAGTGGCTGTTATATAAAATTTTAATCAGAAAATGATGATCCAGTGTATTTTTACACAGCTAAGAACATATACCGTGCAGTTCTTTTTATTGATACTTGCATCACAAAGGTGTAATTTAGAAATCAGTCAGCAATTGTTCTGCTTTAGGCTGCGCACAGACTTGAACATTTTTCCAGTGACATAATTATTTTTTTCTTCTTCATGTTTACATTCAACAACACAGAGCCCTATTTCTTAGCTTTTTAATTTACCTATTTTGCATGAACAGTTTTATTGTGTGAAAATCATTGCAGGGAAGTGGCTCCTAGTTATTAATTAATGTTTCAGAGAAAAAAACCAGAAGATTGGGAAGAAGGAACAGTGATAGTGATTAATAATAGTGATCTCACTTGGGGATGTAAGGGCTCCTCGACAGCAACACAGATTAGAACAAGACAAGGTCCACCAGGGCATTGGTGTGGTCACCTGTCCTGCATCGTGGTGTCATTGATTTAAAGTGTTGATAAAACATGACAGATGGACATCTAGAGTAACTCTTAGCATCTATATTGCTGGTAATTTCTCAGCCTTCTGTGACAGCTTGTTCCACTATTTATTTCTTGGGATTTTTAAATTTTGTTGGTCATGTCCTGTTGCTGCTTATCCAGTCCATGCAAGTGACTGCTACCATTTTGCCCACAAAGGAGGGGTCTCGATGTTCTTTGCTGATTCCGTTTTAGTTCACAATTTAGTTTTGCATCCACATTGTGGATCTGCTGCTGCAGTCTGCTGCACAATCCACTTTCCACTCTTAAAAATATCTATATTGGCAAGCCTGGTCAGTAGGCCATGTTCTTGATTACCAGCAGGAGAAGCATGTGTGGCAATAAGGAGAGAATTAGGTTGGAGAATCATAGAATCATGAGAGTTAGGTTGGAGAATCAAGAATCATGGCTTGCGTTGGAAGG